AGGTTAATAAACTTTAAAGCATGTTGGGAGACATTCAAGGGCAGAGTAACTCCAACATGACAAAAAGAACGTAAAGGCGTTATATTTATGACTGTGGCAAGTAAATTCTGAAAGTAAAGATATCCTTGGCCTTTGATTTTGTTCCTGAGTTGTCCCTCCTGTTCCCACTAGCATTTGAAAACTCAGCTGTTTTGCATATCAGAGGTAACTGACTTGAGACACAGAGGGAATGAACTGCTTGCTTTAGATGAGCTTTTCCTTTGGGTATCGGCTTTCATGAGAGTTTTGCTTCTCTTGAAAACTTACTCATGCTAAACATCTACAGCAGCCACATTTTCAACTCGTGTAATCCTAATAAACTAACATCCTAATAAACTAAAGTGCAGCCTTTCTGTGTAACTTCTCATTGTGATTAATAGTTTGATTCTTTCCCAAAGTCCTGGCCGTTCAAATCTGAGGTTTGCTGTGTGCTGATGTTAGATCAGTGATTCAGAAAAGTTTCTAAGATAGATGAGCTTGATTGTGAATGCAAGTCTTGTGGTTTTTTGTTTTGTTTTGGTTTTCTACTTTGTCAGACAAATTCAGTGTAAAAAGCCTGTGTATACCACTTCCTTGCCTTCTGTCTGCTCTGTTTAAGCACACACACCCTTGTTTATGTTTCTGTGACAGTTGTATCTACTCAGATTTCATAGATGCCAATCTGTCACAAATAACATTTGCACATAAAGTTAGATTCATTAGATTGTTCTGAAGTTATAGCTTCACTTCAGACAATTCTGACTGAATTTAGGGGAGCCAGCATTTATTCTGTGACCCTTTTCTGGTTCAGGCAGAATTTTTTTCTGTTTGTTTTAAGCAGTCAGAGAATGAGGAGACTGGGGTCAGCTGTGGCACCAGGCTGGTTACAAACCCTGGTGTGTTGTAACCGAAGACAGGGCCCTACATGGATGAGGCAGGGCTCCTCCCTTGGCAGACAGGCCTTGGGAGCTGGCCACCAGATGGCACGATCTTCTATAGAGTAATTTTGTGACCTCCATAAAGAACAGCTGTTCATCCCTCCATTGAAATGGTAGTGCCAGGTACAGTGAAGTTCATAAAGTTTTAAGAGTTGTTTTCAGCTTTTTACACCTGAAGCTTTTTATTGTTTTGTTTTTCTCCATTATAACTCCTGTATCGTGCCTTCCCTTTTCATCTTTGAATGTGAACAGGAAAACACCCTTTCTTTTTCCATTGATCTCAGATATTGTTGTTAATTCAGTTGCATTTCAAATCAATTTTGTTAAGTAGAAGCATGGCATACACAAGGATGTTTGCATCAGTAGTAAATGGAATGGACTAAGTACATAATGAAGCGTTCATGTACTATGAAAAAGACATAGATGATTTTCTTTTCATTTATTCTTTTTTTAACTGGGTCATTCTGCACCATTTTGCTCAGTGCCCAGCCCACCAAAGATGAAGCACTGCTGTAGAGGTATGCAGAAGTAACCCTGAAAGCTCAGCTCTGAAGAGGCAAGAAAACTATGAATATTGTAAATATACTGTAAGGTCATTAAATGAATACAGTTTTTAACTGACAACCGAAGAGAGAGGAACTTGATTAACTAACCTTAGCAGTTGTGAAAGTGACCATAACCAATTAAAGTCAGAGGGTCTCCATCCCTTTATTCTTGGAATAAACATTATCCTGATTCACAATCTGAAAGTCTATGTAATGATATTCTGAATTTTGTTAGTTTTTACAACAAAAAGACATCAATTAAAGGGAGAGTTTATTTCAGAATAAGTGAACAGAAAAAGGATGAAAATTCACTATGCACATTAAAAGTTCATCTGCAGAGACAGGTACAGAAATTTGCTCAAAACTTGTTCTAAACTGTTCTGATTCCAAACACCCGGGCAGAGTAAGCACAGCTACTAACACCACGTACTTTTATTTTTATTTAGATGTGGAGATTTGTAACATATGCTGCAGCTTGCAGGTGTGGTGTAGTGTACAACTCTTTGGAGGTGAATAAACTGAATAAACTTAGAGTGACCCACCCAGTCAAGTAGCTGCTCACCTGTAATTCACTGTACTACATGCTGGCTCTATTCCTCCCCCATTCCCAATGCAGGCAAGCTCTGTTTCAGAGTTGTGTAGCTGTCAGCATTTTTATATCACATCACAAGATAGTCATCAGTGTAATTTAATCTTTATAAAGAGGGAGAATGTAAAAGCTCAAGTACTGTTCCTATAATCTAGTTATCTTTTTCCTGTTTGACAGAGTTGTACCATTTTCTTTATCCAGTTTGATCTATCCTTCAAGGTCCATATGGTATTACAGCACCAATGGTATTGGCCCATAATAAGTTGAGTGTAAACAGGCGGGTTTATGGCTTGGGTTCATTTACCTTTTTCACAGTTACGTATGTCTCTCCAAAGCATTGAGAGCCTGGTACAAGACGGAGGCCTTCATTTCTGAGCTAACTTGAGGGCAGTGTCTATCAGTGGTTCCCAGTCCCAGAAAGCACAGTTGGTGCTGGACATTGGTCACCTTTTAGTATACAGAGCATGTAGAGCCATGAGCAGAGTGTGTCAGGAACCAGACGCTTACACAGCCAGCCATGCAAGGCAGCAAGAAACGCTTGTTCACAGCCCGTCAGTGGAGCAACTGTAGAACTTCCTGGGTGACTGTGTGAAAGTAATTGGATGTCCAGAGCTCTCCTTGTCTTCTTCTAGTGACTTGTTTGTTGTAAGAATGTTTAAATTTAAGTGCCATTTCTTGGACATGGGGTTTATGCACGGACTTAGAATTTCTTGATGTGTCATCCATTGCATACATTACATGCTCTGACAGGTCACTTCTTTTTTCTTTGTGTTTCAGCCTGCTCAAGTATGTAGTAGAGATGGTGATACCTTCCCATAAATGATACTTTGGAATTTGTGATGGAGTGAATAGTAATTTCACTTGGGTTTTTTTGGTTTTGTTTTATTTTTTCCTTTGTTTTGCCTCTATTAATGGCACGGAGTTTACACTGTTGAGCTTAACCAGTGCCTACTAAGCTTTACTATGGCAATAAGAACAGAGGATTTTGTGTGCAACTACTTCATTGTTTTCTGTGCTGATGCCATGCTATTCATCTACTGAAGGCCTAGGAATCTGGACCTAGTTGTTAAAGGAAATTTCTTTCTCAGTTATCTGCTCCTGAACAAGGTTGAGATTGAGGTGAAGGAGTTGCAATTAAAAGAAAATGTGTCAAATGTAGTTTCAGAGCAGACAGAATCCTTTGGCAGACACTTGAAAATCAGCACGAAAGTAGCACTCAATGCAAAGCAAGTTTCTGCTTCTTTCCTGAACCTTTTGAATTTGTAACTCACACACACACACACAAACAAGAAAACGGTTAAGTTCTTTCCTCCCACACCCCTGTGTTTTGAATTCAGATCGCAGAACGGGGAGAACATTCACTGAGGAAAGGTATATGGCTCCCTTCTATTTCAAGTGGGGAGACATCCTTTTAATTGCAAGCAGACAGCAGATGGTATGGCTTTTGTGGTGTCACGAACTCCAGCACAATACAGTCAGCCGCTGCACAGCGTGGTACGATTTAAAGCTGAGTGAACGTGGGGGGAGTGACGGGTTAGGGGTGGGAAGGCAATAATTCTGAGGACATTTGTTCCGTTTTTATTTTACAAATTGACCATGATTTTTTTATGTTTCCCTTTTGTTCACTTTCTGCATCTGTTCAAGAAAACTGATTTCCCACGAAGAGCGCACGCCAAAACAAATAGTTTTGAAAGGATTGTTGTCAATTTCAAAAAACACACCTCTGTACTAAAGTTTATAAGTTACTCTCTCAGACCTCAGAAGAGGAAGTAGGTGGGGGAGAAAAACAGAAATATAAGTTTCCAAGCAATAAACACAAGGCAAGATCTCTTCTAGTCCACAGTCATAAGATTCTTTTCAATTAAAAGTGCCCTTTGCACCTGATTCAGCCTTTTAACCCACTGGCCAATGTATTGTTCTGTATCCTCTCACTTTGCCTCTGTAAGGAAAAGTTTCAGAACTGCAAAGATTTTCCTAAGACAGGAGATGTTTTTCTATTCAAACCTCAGGTACCTTGTGTCTTCCAATGCTATCACACTGTTAGCACATAAATCCTTAGAAGGTTTTTGTTCAGATTGTTGGTCTGTGTCATTGGTCTGTGGAGCAATGCCAATGCACAGCAGCTGGGATTTCCTACCCTGCTCCTGTATGCATTCTAAATTACCCAATAAACTCTGACTTTGAGCATCTTACACAAATCAGAACTCTAATTCTGCATTTCCCAAGTAAGTATATGTTTCTAAAACATTTGTGCTTTGTGCAAACATTCACTATGCAATATCAAGCACTATTTGTTTTCTGATGTTAAAAAAGATACAGGAACATGGTGCCATCTATCAACACATCCAATGTACTTTATATCCAAGTAATGTAATATGTTTCACAATTCTTTTTTTCCATGAGGGGATAAGGAAGGATGTGGAACTGGAGTAATTTACACAGAATTGTGTCTGAGCAGAATTACTTAGGAATCTGTGCAGCTTGTTTCCTATGTTCATGTGTTAACTAATACAAGATATGCTTCCAAATACAGCAGGGTTGTGATCTAAGGACACTGCTTTGAAGGTATTTTCTCTCTGTTTATCATAACTTATTTTACCATTATTTCACTGTCCCTGCAAAATCAATCGGATATTTAAAGTGAATATGCATCACTTTCTTTAAATATGCACAAAACCTGACATCTATCTTTTGCCCTTGATTTCTGCTGATCTCCAGATCAATTCAGGATCTTTTATTGAATTATGATCTTCATTTTCATATAGGTCAATAGCATCCGTGTTAATGACTCACTTAGATCATAAAAGTGCATTTCCAAGGGGTGTGACTACAGGTGGGCTGAACTGCTTGTCTGGCTTATAAAAACAGGTCCTCAGGCCAGCTGCACTTACCCATTCTTCTTTGTTCCAGCAGCTATTCTCCTCTAGCAGCCACATCTGCAGGGCAACATGGCATTCACAGGCAAATACGAATTCGAAAGTGATGAGAACTATGATGAGTTTGTGAAGAAGATTGGTAAGTATGTCTTGGGTGAGCCTTAAAGGTTTTAAATTAGCTAGAAATACTTGTTTAAATAAAGCAATTTATTGAAAATGTGTTGAGATCAACAGGAGATAGAACTGGTTGGAGTGCTCCACACTTCAGCAAGGAGAATCAGTTCTCATTCTTATTAAGAACAAGAAGCTCTGTTATCTGCAGGAAATAGTCCTGTTGTACAGAAGTTGTTATTCCTTTTCAGTGGCAGCAGAATGAAGGGCAAAGACATTTGCAGTATAATGACAATTAGAACAATTTTTTTCTGTCCTGGGTATTCATTAGTGAAAGTGTAAATTTTAAGTATGAAAAATACTTGTCAGTCTTATACTGGACCAGGTTTCTTTGAAGCATTTCAGAAAAACTGTGTAAGCCTGTGTCTGAGATCACTCCTGGGAAATCCCTTAGGAACACTATGATCTGTGTGCATAAATTCAGTTCTTGTATTCCTTTGTTTAAAAAGCAAATGCAAATAGTAAGTAGGTATGCACAGCTGTATGGCAGAGGCAGAAATTCATTCACATGAAATTCCATGTATCTGCATGTGTAGCCTAAGTAGAGAGATGCAGACATATATTCCTTCTACCTGCACCTTTATTATATATCATTCCTAAGGGAAAAGAAATCAAGACCAAAACCTATAATTTTAGCAAATGCATTGATTGCCTTGTATTTTTCTTTGTATCACTAATTTAAATAAAGAAACAAAAACACAAATCAGATACTCAGACATCAATGTCTGAGAACAAACATCCCAGTAGCATGCTTTACTTCAAATGCAGCTGATAAGACATTTGATTTGATAAACTGTATTTTTCTATTTATTAAGGTCTCCCCGCTGACAAGATCGAACTGGGAAGGAATTGCAAAATAGTCACCGAGGTGGTGCAGAATGGAAATGATTTCACCTGGTCTCAGCATTTCCCAGGAGGACACACCACAACTAATTCATTCACTATAGACAAGGAAGCAGACATGGAGACAATGGGTGGTAGAAAGTTCAAGGTATATTAACTTAGCCCTTGAGTTCTGTGCAGTCTTGGTTGTTGTTGTTTTTCAATATAGAGTGAAAATCAAATATGACTCGGGTACATCTCCCTTAACCTGTTAATTCATCTATCATAGCCTGGACATCATATGTATTTTTTCCCTGTTTCTTGTTGTCCTAGCAAAATATCTAAATCTAGAACTGCATTTTGATGAGGGCTGGAGCTTCAAAACTATTAACTAGTAAAGAATGATGAAAAAGTGAAGAGCATCTACTCTTGTCATGACTCAAGCAATCTTAGTGCCCATTAAAACTGTAATGAGCTGGCTCCCAGCTGTCCTTGTTGTCCAGCACCATACAAAGGAAGCACACCCTGACAGCAGTGCTGTGGTCCTTAGCCTGACTGTAGTGTTCAGTCTTTGAAGCTGCCTTAAACTACGTAAGGACTATGTAAAGTGAATGTAAATAAATCTCTGTGTACCATTCTTGATATTGGAAGCACAGATCCGCTTGCAACTGGAGCAGTCTCTAGAGATAAGGTTGTACAACCTGATCTGCACCTGACCTGGACAAAATTTTGATATCTACATAAAATGGTTGCTTTAATACCTTATTCATTTCTCACCTATTTTAACGGATAGTTTCAGATGACTAAATTCAGCATTAACCCTACAACAGATTAATAGATAAATGCTTTATATTGAAGAGATAGGAAAATGATCAATTGCATTGAGCAGCTCTGACAAAATAATAGCAATAACATTGCATGATTTCTGGAACGCTTTTTCAGTCATACCATTCTAATTATACAGGGGAGAAAAAGAACATTTGTCTTTGGTTGTGAGAAACCTTTTTGAAGCCTAACGTATGGAACAAAATGTAGTTCTACTTAGTCTATTTTACAGTTTTGAAGTATTACAAATACTGCCTTTCTTTTGGCCTTAGGATCTTCAGCAGTCCAAATCCTGCTAAGTATCTAAAGCCAGAGGCAGTATAAACGACTCTCAGCAGTGAAACCCCTGCCTTTTAGCAGTCACTAAACAGTACCCAAATTAGTAAGACTGTTTCCTTGTATCTAGTTAAAAAAAAAACAAAAACAGCCCATTTTTCATTTTGCAGTTTTTTTCCCTTCTAGGTATGATTAACTCATCCATCTATTACTACTGCATAGTAGGTTGACTTCCTAGGTAAACAAGACTCATTTTGTCATCCAGTTGTGTAGCTAGTTCTACAGAGCTGGTTTTGGCAGTCAGCTGAACTGCTGCAGAACTTGCGATCTTAGATTAGTGTCCTGCATAATTCTTCCATGCAGAAATAGCTGTGAGAATGATAGTCCACTTGGAAGAGACTTTCAAAGATCATCTACTCCAATGGCCTGACCAGGGCTAACCAAAAGTTAATGCATGTTGTTGAGGGCACTGTCCAAATGCCTCTCGAGCAGAGAGCCATGAGACATCAACCACCCCTCTGGGAAACCTGTGTCAATGTTTGACTGCTCACACTACAGAAATTTTTCCTGACATTCTGTCTGAACCTCTGGCTGATGCAGCCATGTGCTTTTCCCTGTTTTCTTTAATTGGTTACCAGGGAGAAGAGACTGGAACCTCTCTCCATTTCCTCTTCTCAGGAATTTATAGAACACAAAGCAGCTGGCACAGATCATAGTATGAAGGTGTGACTGCAAACTGTACAGTCAGTTCATCCATACTTGATCTCGGTGAACTCTAGCACAGTTGAAGTTGTGAAACTTAGGATCTAGAGTGAAGAATTGATATCACTAGCTCACAGTCACTTTTCTGCTGTTTGCAGCCAGCTGTTTACAATCTGAGAACAGCACTTTAAAAGTAACTCCTACAATTACACTTTTTAGTTCACTGTTGTTACAGTCAGAAAGGTCAACATGGTGGAAGGATGGATACAGGAGTCCAGAAGCAAAGGCACTAGAGAAAATGGAATGGTTTTACAAAGAAAAAGTGCTCACCTGTCTCTGAAGATCTTGGCTTGCAGGAAAGACTCCACAAGGGAGGGATCTCCAACCTTCCCCAGTGGCAGTCAGCCCTCTTTTAAAAAGAGGTCTAAGAGAGGTGCAGCCAGGCTGCAGCCCTTCCAGTCACACAGCTGAATTGCCTTCACCTGTGCTCCCAGGGCTGACCTGGTTCTTTCCCTGGGTGCTCAATCAGTGGTTCAGCCTGACTCAACAGTTACCATACAACTGTCAAAACAAAAGAACCACACAAAGTGTTGATGACTGAGAATATAGTCTGTAATAAGACCATTTTTAGAGCTATGGATGAATAATGTCCATGCCTTATTTGTAAGTATGAAACTTAGAGGTATTGTTAGTTGAACATTTTTCTATTTAAATTGTGAATATTTACATTTAGGAACTAAAGCACAAAGATTTTAGTCTTATTGAAGAATCTGTGAATGTAATAGACAAATTTTTCTTCCTTTAAAGGAAAAACTTCAAACATGATGTATGTAGCATAACTGATAATAGAAATGCCAGTAAGCTCAGAGACCATTAAACCTCTGTCTGTTACAGGCAACTGTTAAAATGGAAGGTGGAAAAATAGTAGCTGAATTTCCCAACTATCGTCATACTGTAGAGATTTCTGGAGGAAAGCTTGTAGAGGTGAGTTCTCAAGTGTCCAGACTATTTTGTTTAGGACTGCAAGTCTTATTATTATTATTATTATTAAAGTTTTGAGTTCAGAAAAATACATCCAAATAAGCAATGCAGAACAGTTTATTAACTTTCTCCTTTCTAGATAATCTCTTAAAATTCTAATCCAAAATTAATGGAATAAACTTTTAGTTATATATTGTGTCTTGTATCATATACACAGACACACAGTTTCATAACTGTAATAGACTGGAGTGTTCAGCTTGAGGTATTCCTGAGTTGCTGTTTTTTTATTGACTATATTCAGTCAATAAGCATATGCTTACAGAATAGAAAATAATATGTAAAGTTTTTCACCTGCTACTTGAACTATGTTTGTTTGTACAAAATGTCATTGACTTTATTTTTTAAGATGTCAATATGTTATAACTCCTCACAGCATTTCTGTTGGACCCTAGTCTATTTTTCAGTCTTACTCCTAGAACAAAAATGTTGGAAGAGCTTATATTATGAATAGTGTCCTATTTTATCATTGAAGTCACATGGCAGTGGTAAATCTTGATTTGACTCTCAAAAGGCTTCTTGATTTGTGGCTTCTCTCTGTGTCAGCTACATATGTCTGCATATTTTAACTTTGAGTAATAGTAACTTACAATAAAAAATAAAGTGATGTTGTTACTCAGTTATTGCTTTTGGAGAACAACTGTCTAAAATCCTGATACCAACTTGGTGTTGGTGATAGCCAAGTCTACCACTGCAATAACGAGCAGTCTAAACTATTTAGCTTATTGTTTATGTATGTTCTACTAAAGGGTAAATCTGCTTCAGTAAGTGGCAGGTTCCATGTGTAAGCTAAGAGGTCTTTCTGTTTGTGACACTGAAGCTTTAAGAACCCTGTTCAACCAAGTTTTGGTGTGTTCTTTATTCCAGATCTCCACTTGTGCTGGAGTAGTCTACAAGAGAACCAGCAAAAAGATTGCTTAAAAAAAAAAAAAAAAAAAAAGTCAGTCTTCTGGCACACTCAAAAATAAGCAGCAATACAAATAAAAACAATTCTGATCTATTCTGATCTAGTTTGCTCTTCCTTTCTCTTTGCTTCACAAATGAATGAGTGTTATACTACTGATGCTTATTAACTTCTTAAAGAAACATAAACTGGCATTTATTTATACTGAAGCAACACCACTATTTCAGGATATAATAAGAAATACTTGGCATATTCAAATGTTGTTCACCACACACTTGATGGAAGCTCCATCCAGCTTCTGTCTAGACATCATCAAAGCGTGAGACCTGAGGAACATCTGTTGCTTTTTCACTGATTAGAAGGCAGAAATTGAGAAGCTTTAAAAATTAGACCCACTTTCACACTGCTCTCATGGTTACTTTGTTCTCATCAACATCTCTTGTTGATCCAAGTTCTTCAGAGATAGTTGCAGGAAAATTTGGAATCTTACTTCTTCACCACAATCCAGTTTACAAAGAACACATGAAAATCTGTTCTCTTAAATACAGAAGGAATTTGATAAAACAGTTTTTGAATGTGCTGTTCCAAGTAATTTCTGGCCAACATCTGGTCCACAAAGATTTCTCTTTTCAGACTTCCACTCTGAAGTCATTTTTTCCAGCTGTCATTTCTTCTGGATCCATCTAGCTGCTTGCTCTCACCCTTTGTTAATTAATAACAAGACAGGGCTTGTGTACACAAAAGTTCATTTTCTAATTTCTCTCTTGTTCGTGACTGACAATCCTAATCATTTCAGGTATCTTGCAGTCAAAAAATGTTCTTAATTGCTTTTATATTTTTCATCTTAATTGAGACTACTAATGTTTCCTATCTGCATTAGTTTAGTCAAAATAGGCTACACACAGCTTATGACCAGGTGTTGCTCAGTTAATTACTCGTTTTGCATTGAAGGCAACTCATAATGCTGAACCCCTAATTAGAAAAACATCTGTCAACTCCAAAACCTCTCAATCTTAAAGGAGTCTTTTGGTACATGCAGCAAACAAATCTACTGCATTAACAAATCATTTCTTTCCAATTCAGCCTCTTCAGGCATATGGAAGAGTTATCACTCAATTCTTCTTCCCTAAACAAGAACACTCCATTTAGATTTCACACCCTTGCTACCTCGCTGCAATATGGATGGGGTAGAAAGCAATACTAAGCATAAATCAAACAAATAAAAGCAAAAAACAGAGAGCTGCAAAGTTGACCCATAAAAGCAGGTCCTCTGGAGCACACAGGCATTTTGCCACTTGCATAGATAGCTGCCCAAAAGCCTTGTGCTGTCGACCCTGCTGGATGGTCCTTTGATAGGCAGTGAATAAGTGATTTCAATTCTTATCATCCATTGATGTTAATTTTGCTTTTAAAAGGAAATAATAGAACCATCAGAATTGGACAATAAAGCTCTTATTTTGAACTTCGTAACATTTGTGCAGGAAAAGCAAGCAACCCCTCTCACAGTCATACAGAATGACTGGAAATATCATTATTAGAAACTTCCACTGAAATATGAACATTAAAATTGCAATACTTCAGATTGATCAAGCAGACAAACAGTTTTGTTAAGCAGAACTGCCTGCAACAGAGATAATGGAAAGCTTATTAGGATTCTTATATTCACCAGTAAATCAGCATCATTTTTATCAGAGTAATTGGGTTCCTGTGAAGGTTGGAGTGGGTTAGGATGGAGGAGGTAAAACAGTTATTTTGATAACTTAATGATTGAAAGTCCTTGGATTCGTAAGAAAAAAAAAAGTGAAATGTCATCTTTATACCAAATTAACATCACATTTTAACTGATAAGTAATAATGAATTGGCAGTCATTAAAAATTTTGAAGAATATAATGAAAACCATAAATCAGAAATATTTCTGCAGCTAATGGTTCCAGGTATATGCAGTATATGAAGACTATTACTAAGAAACTAAGTACAAGAGGCACAGTGCTATTTTTCTCTGACTATGAGAAGGGTTGGTTTTTTTTTTTGTTTTGTTTTTTTGGTTAACTGGATGTCTGTGCTCAATGAAATCAGGCACATGCAGCAATCAGGAGAGCAAGCCACAAGCATTTGCAAAACTTCAAGAACACATGGACTACCACTATGTAGATGCAAGGTTGGCTTGATGCAACTTCTGTGTTCCTTTAGGACAGTAACAATGTCATTATCTTGCATGAGGAAGCTGAAGCATAATTCAGACCCAGTTGCAGAACACCATCTCAGGAAGTGATAGATATTTCTTCAGGCTCACTTGTCATTTCTCTTCAAATAACAACGGGACATCTTACAGATCTTAAAAAATGTGCCCATGATACCTACTACATAGAACCATAGAGCCAGACACAGGCTGCTAGTGTTCATTTTGGCAATTGCAGCATAGTGCTTTCTATTCATAGCCACGTTGTTCTGTATTTGCTTTTGCAGTGATGTTTGTTCACAAAGCTTTCCAGGGAATTGCACGTTGATCAGACTGCAAAAATTCTGATCTGTTTATGCAAGAAATGACAGCATCAACCAACACAGACACAGGGTGAGAAGTTTTATATCATTTCAAAAGAAACTTGGTATGCATCTCTACAGCTCACTTCAAAAGTAACTGTGGCAAGAAAGTCAATAGAGAAGCAGCTTTTTGATTGTCTGAACTCTTCTATGTTCTCTCTTCCCAAGTTTTCACAAGAGAGAAAAGATCCACTTAAAAATCTGTTAGGAAATCTCACCTACATGTAAAGCAGTCTGCAGAGAACAGTCAGTCAAAACACTATCAGACCAACTCTAAGTTCTCAGAAATCTTTTCTGTATTTTTCTGAGACTGCTGTTGAACAAAATCTGCTCCAACTTCACCAATGCTACAAAGGCACAATGCTAGAGAAGCCATGGACAATTCTTGTTTAAAATGCAGTTACCAGAAGAAAAGATAATGTACAACTGTGTTCTCTGATTCAGTATTTCATGGCACTGGGCCATATGAGCTGGAATAATCAGTTCTTACGTCCTGCTTCATGTCTGCATATTTTTTGCCTGTTTCTTCAGCAATCCCCACAGCCTGCTTTGTGTTCCCTTATACAGACCAACACTTGAAACTTGGAGCAAAACCTCACTTTCTGCACAGGACCAACTTCCTCATCTGCCTGCCTAACCCTTCACAACTTATTATTCGACAAGGCCATTCCATCACATTTGTCCTACCACTGTTCTGTAAGATGTTATGAGTACTCAGATCAGGTGTTTTTTAAGGTACAGATGTATTCCTTGTTAGCTCCTGAAAGCTTGGGAGAAAACAGTAGAAAAATTAACAGAGTACTTCATCTGTACACTTATTTATTGGAAGCTTTCACTGGAAACGTTGCAAGTATTTTCACATTAAGCAGAATGGCAGCCCAAAGTGTAACAGCGTGTGTGACCTGAACAAAAATGTGATAAAAACAAAGAAAAACCATCCAACATACTGCCACTACTGTTTTGTTCAGTAGTTCTGACGAATGACTAATTATAAAATACACTAAAGTCTTCTAAAAATAAAGTTTAATATAAATACAAAACCAACAGAATTAAAGATTAAAGACTAAGTTCTCTACATTTCTAGATCAATTTCTGAAGAGTACAGCCTCTTCATTTACAGTTTGCCTTTTTTAAATGAAAAAAAAACAAAATGCCCCTAGCCTGCTGAATGCAGGAAATCATTAGCTTAACATCCATCATTGCATTCTCAGAAGATGGTTACACAAGCACACATCAGCATGCAGGCTAATTTTCCCCCTCCACCTTTAAACACCCTTAAAAACAATTCTCTGAAAATATAATTTAAAACAACATTGACACATGACTTGGAAAAGCTGCCCCAAGTCAGAAGAAGCATATTGCACATTACCTGTACTGCAGTCCTGAGATCCTTAGGGAAAAAGGACAGTCCAACAGTATTGTCTTCAAACAAACACACAATTGTGGTTGCGTATCAAAACTAGGAGTTTCACATTTCAGAAGTCTGTTTCTTGTAAATATCTACATTGCAGTTAAACAAACAAAAACCTCTACAATCTTCTCTGATCTCAATCGAAAAGGGAACATTTGGGTATCTGACAGTAGGTGCATCTCATTATAAAGCAACATGATCTGCAATTCAACAGCTATATTTTCCAATAGAATCAAGGTGATATTCAAGAAAACTAAGTCAGGATTGCCTAGTGCTGCAACTAAACCAATTTCCCAATAAAGTTAACCAGTTCCCCATCTCTGCCCACATTACCAGCAGTTCCTCTGTCCTAAAATTGAACTACTGCCACAAACCGTTTGAGCCCAAACTACGAAATAACTGAAGGGACTGAAGTTTTTGAGAGTTTTTCAAAGAAAATTTCTTCAAGTAACATTAAATCCCTGATAAAGCTTGTAAACAGTTTTACTAACTGTAATCTCCAGTCTCAAAAAGCAGCAGCATGTTTAAGTTCTAAGATCATTTATGCTTTTTAATGTTTCTGTTGCTTATTTTTTTTTCAAATAAGCAAAGGCAGAGCGGTGTTCTGTGTTCAGTTCAGTAGCATCACATCTTGTTTCCAAGATAATTTTAAGTCAGAGATTATTTGATAGTCTTCCAGCCTTTGTTCCTTTTATTATGCAGTCTTGCTCCTGCATTGTCACTCCAGGTCAAAGAAAACTGAAGTGTTCTATGCGTCTATTTCTGCAGAAACAAAGAGCACCTGCATTTAAGTGAACACCATTTCAGGACACTTTTTGTAGAAGCTTCCAGTAGTATAAGCCACCACTGTTCAAAAGACACATCCCTGGGAGAGAGAGAGCACTCTGTTTTCAATAACATCCTCTAAGAACATTGCTACTAAACCAAAAATTCGAGGAACACTCTAGCCTGAAATACCATACAAGCTTTCAGCCAACTCAGATCAGTGAGTCACTAACTGAGAACTAGAAAGTAGTAATCTCCACAGGGTTGCTATGCACGTCTTTCAAAGTTACTTCACATGAGGTATGTTACTGCATTTCTGTTTCTCTTATTAAGAGAGAAAGGTACAATCCTTGGCAAAGGCACCCAGCTTCCAGTGATCAATGGATCCAGATCCACGCCCTGTGGATGAGTAAGATGTACGGATTCTGTTCCTTCACGGTTCTCATTCAGATACACATTCCATATCACTCTTTTCTTTAGTTTTCACTCATATCACCTTATTCTCGTGCTGATATTTATCCATCAAAACACCCAGCTGGATACGAATGGCAACCACTGAAATAACTACTACCACAAGCCATGGAAATGCAGTGACTGGGCTCTGTTCCTAAGGCCACCTGCACAGCAATAGGCATTTGGACATGCAGAGTCTGGGCAGATGGCTGCAGGTTGGTCTGAAGAGCAGCATAGGGATGCATTGAGCTGTCAGCACTCCCGGCAATCAGAGTGCTGGGTCTGTGTGGCTGTAAGGAGTCACGATAAGCAGAGCACAAATCCTGTACTGGTGACTGGAAGTGGGAAAGACTAGCTGAATGCTGGGCTAAAGGACGATAACCGGATTGCTGAAATAGAACTTGAGTAGTGGCTTCATGTCTCAGGTTTTCCATTACTTCCTGCTGCTGATGTTGGATTGTTACTTCCTTTTTTATATTACTGGCTTCTTTGATGTCATTCTCATAATATCTGAAACAAATAAGTTAGATTCATCAACAGGGAAAATTCACAGAATTTGCATATACCAAAATTTCCACCCATTAGGCTTTTTACCCATAGGTATATATGACAGTTCACACGTTCACAGTTCATTTCTAATTACTCTGGTGAGATCTTCATATACTAAGAAGGCTTATGAATAATTTTTGCATCCCAAGTACATTTACAATTGGACTTGCTATGGAAAGTTATGAGAGCTTGAAGTCCACAGCATGATTTTCTTAAAATAGTCTGTGTGGGTACTTGCAAAGTATTTAAGTGCACAGCTAAGAGAAACACAGGAAAAATCCTGTAAGATACCAGGAAGAAACATGTTCACACATTTGATAATCATTAGGGTCATCAATCAGTAAAACAAGTTGCTCAGTGAAACTGGAAAATCTCTGTCCTTAGATAGCAACAGCTGACTAGACAGTGCTCCAAGCAGTCTGGATTCAAGTTCAATTGGCCCCACTTTAAGGAAAAATTCTGAAGTCCACCATCATTCTATGGATCTTTCACGTTTTCTGTTGAGACTTGTATGTGCTCACATGAATCAACCAGTACTGACACACTGCAGTCATGTCCTTTACTGCAGAAGCAGCAAAGAATAGTCCTGAAAAACATCTCCCTACTGTATTCCCAGAGTTGGAGATACACCGGTGCCCCTCTGCAGCAAGATCTTTATGGGTACAAGGAGAAAAGAAAGGAAAAAAACTTTCAGCAACCATCCGTAAAAGCTTCCATCCAATGGCATTGACAACCAGTACAAGATGAAAAGAACAATAAATTGTGTGCCATTCTATAATGCACGTACTGTTAAAAAACAGTATTTAGTGAAATGATCCAATTTTTCCATTTTATTCCTCTCCCCATACTAAAGCTAGAGGTTACCAATGTAATAGCTAAAAGCAATAGCTATCATTAAGCTATAACAGGTCCTTTTCCTGCACATTTTTTGTTTTGTTCTAAGCAAGCATCAGCAACTTGCTAAGAATGCCAAGAGGTTACTTGCATTTTGATCTTACATGAGCATCATTTCAATGCACTGGGCAAGGTGCTCCCAGGAGTAACATGTGAGCAATTCAAGCTGTGTTGTCCAGGCAGGAGAAATCTGCATACAGATGCGTGAGGCACACACAGAAGCCGCAGCAATCAGAGATGGACGAAAATGAAGGAAACTGTGATCTACAAAGGAATAAAAATAGCATGGGTTATACTCTTACTGATCACTGCAGTGAGCCTAGTAAGTAGTACATGGCAACACAGGACAGAGTTAAATCCTCAACTTTATTCCACACATTTCAAAGTAGCAACTCACGCCAATGAGAATTCTGTCAAAACTGGATGAAACTTTACTGAAAAGCTGTGTGCTACTGGTGCCTGGAGGTGACTTTGATTAAAAACAACAAACTATGAAATATATGAAATGGACTAACTATGCCAAAGTTTTTAGACTTGTGTCAAGTGAACTGATGTCCACTACTGACAGTCACATACATTCACATTAGTGTTGGAATTTTAAGAATACTGCAGATTATTGCCTCTCTCACAGGCAGATATTGGAACTGGTGCTGCAAACCAAATCACTATAAGCTCAGTCTGAGTGCGTCGTATCATATCATCACGTCAGCACAGAATCCTCAAAAACATAACTGAAAAAAGTCATACGTTAAACTGCATTCAGTCATGTCTACAACTGACAGCAGTTCATACTGTGTCAGATAACCATTTCCAGTGGTTTTGCCAATTAAGAGTTCTGAGATGAAAAAAATGGATCTCTCATTTCTGAGAAGAGGCGAGACTAATCTGCAAGGAAAGGACAACCAATTGCCATCTGAAATAACTGCCAAGTGGCACACTGGTCTACATAGATCATTTTGTACAGTCCATATAATGACAACTTTTAAAACCCTTCTCTCTTCCAGATTTTTGCCCTTTGGCAAATGGAAGATCATTCTAACATAAACTAAGTCTCTTACCTTGCACTGAAAAATCAAGGAAATAATATGCATATTTTTCCATAAAAGCTTTGACTTTGGCTAGTGAAGTGATTGGCCAGCCGTTGTGAAGGTCATTCTCACCAAGAGATGCATAGAGGTAGTAGTCAATGTAGTGAGCTGCTGTTGGTATACACAGGTTCCAGTTGAAGTTTTCCAGAAGCAGCATTTCCATTTGAAGCAAGTCTTTCTTGCTCAGTACCACATTTACATTGCACATGTATGCCAGGTTATTTAAGTGCTCCAACTTTGGAACTTTATCTTCTTTTTCTTCAAATTTACCTGCCAAAAAAAGATGGTTTTCAGCTAAGGTACATCATAATGATGGAGTGTCAAAAAGCCGAAGAACCAGAAAGTCTAACAGTGAAAGGCACTTTCTACAATGGATGAAAGAGAGACAAGAGAGTGCAGGGACACAAGTAAGGGGGAAAAAAAAAAAAAAAAGAAAAAAAAAAGGAAAAAGACTGGTCAACATGTTCCCATATCATATATCATTATTATATCTAATGTAGTTTTGATGCCAAAACCAAAATAAAGATTAATTCCTTAGAAGAGCTGGACTGGAGAGCTGGAAGAGTACAACAAATAGAAGTTTAATATTCGTGATGCTTCTGGTTTTAAGAACACCTGTTCACAGAAAAAAGTATATTTTTGAAACTGGGAAAGCCAAATCATTTACTGCAAGTTTAGATGTTCATCTGTATTTTGCTCGTTAAGCATTTTTTTTTGTTCTCCAGAAAGAGGTACCTCTTCCTCGCATTCATCTTAAATTAGGTCTGTTGTATCCATTTAACATTAACATTGTCACTGAATGTTTGCTAAGAATTTAACAGAAACAGATGCTACAATTCATTAGCATTTTTATTCATGGCAGAATGCCTGGCATTGCAGTCAAGGAGGCTTATGCATTTCTATAAAGGAAGCAGAACAGGGAGAAACTGATGTCTTTTCAAGATAGTTTTGTACTGAATGTAGGGTTTATACATAAGGTTTCAAAAGTAAAATAATAAAAACTAACAAGTCTGTATTTAAAGAGGAAGTTGTCTGCTAGGTTACAAGCCTTCTTGTATTTAAGTTTTTCGATGAGTATTAATCACAATATATTCTGTTAAGCCTTTTCATTAAAGTTGAGTTTTTTAAACTCAATTATATTATTATAATATTTTGTTTATAATATAATATATTGTTCAAATAATTGAACAATCCTCAGTTTTAAATGCAGATGATAAAAATACCAGCCGTAGAGATCTGAAAAAATGCTGTAATCATAGCTGAAGTTGACCACTACTGATTTATATATATGACTTGCAATCATAGACAGGTCATGTATAGAAGTTCCCAAGTTATGACATGAACTGTGCATCCCACCACAAGCTTTTTGGAGTATATTATACCCTTGAAGAGTCAACAAGACTAAATATGGTACAGATCTTTGCTTAAATGTTTTTCCACTAGAAAAAAAACCAACAGTTTTTGACAATGAAGAAATACCTTTAAAGAAATAAAAAAGCTAATATAAATTTAAATACAAAACAAACATACTAAAACAAACTAACAAACATGACTGGGATACCAGGACAGAAGTCAGCATGTTTCAATTGCTAGAGGTTAAGTCATGGTCTAATCTTGATTGATGCTCCTGAATGCTTCCCACCATCATTTTTGATCACCAGGCATCCTAACCACAGTTGACTTTCAGGTGTTGCAAGTAAAGCAGTGAGGGAGACTGCTGGTACTGTTTTACCAATTGCAAACTGGATGCTTGGCATACTTTAGACAATCAAAGCTCAAAGTACCAGGTTTATCCTGAGATGACCAGAAGCAAGACATTAGATTGACCCTGCCTTTCCTTTACATTATCTCGATGACAAAATTGACACCCTCCTGCTAAATGCCACTTCAGCTTACTAAAGTGGCACAAAACTACAAAATTCTGCAGAATCAGTGATTTTATGTGCCAACAAGGACAGCCATTCCCAGCAAAGCAGAGCTACTATCATTTCAGCCTGAGCAGCTACCCTGTCTGCTACAGCTTCACCCAGGGATGAAACCCATGCTCTTCACAAGGGCCAACATCTACCTGGACACACATTGCTCACCATTCTCTCACAGAATCTCAAGGACCTCACTACTTTGCAAGCCAGAGATAAGGAGTTAAGAATTCACAATAAGCCAGGACTAATAGTATTTGAAAATACACGAAGTGGTGGCTTATCTCTCTTTTCCTGCTTATTCTCAGCGAGTTAAACAAGAGCATCACAAACATTTTTCTGCTGATGGGATTAGTTCATCTTCTCTCAACCGTATAAATCTTGATCCACAGCAGGAGAAGCCATTTCTGTCTTTTCATAAGTACACTAATGAACAATTTAATAGATTGCTATAGAACTGGAGGTAGGATCTGGACTCTGCAATGCTACAAGAAATGAGTAAAACCTAAAGTACGCAATGAGTGGATTTCATTATTGGATTACAGAAATATGTTAGTTTATACTTTTGTGTTTCACAACAGATTTCAAGAGGCCTTCATACCAAGATAATTTGGGTTCCTCATTCCCATTATGTGTTCCTACATCCACGTTACTAGCAGAACAGAGGACAGAAAATTGACTCTTCTTCTCAAGCTACACATTGAGTGAAATTGAAAGAAAGTTAAAAAAAAAAAAAAAAAAAGAAAACAACACACCACTATTCAGTCATGTCATCTCTCTTCTAGTCATTTCAGAGACCAGTTTTTCCTAACTGGAAGCAGACTGATGAAAGGCATTCAGTAAAGCGTGAAGAAAAAAGGCAGTACAGGAAAGAAAAAATAAAATCAAAGATCTAATACTGAGGGAAAAAATCTCCTTTGTGTATCAATACCATCCTTTGGGTACGGAAGCTAAATGCATATGCTACAAAAAAGAAGAGGTAAAAACCCTCAGGCACCACCACCTTTGCCCTTGCTGTTTCATAATTTCTCTTTGTTCCATCCTGTCTTGGAAGGCCTCATTAGCCAGGTCACTGAAAAGCTAGTAGTTGTACATTGTAGCCAAGTGATTAACATAAATAATTCCCATAGGATTAGCCGAGAGCATGCATTTTTAGAGTCCAAATAGCTGAGCAAAGCCACACCTTTTTCTAATTTGCATTTACTAGGCTATTGAAACAGCAGCAGTGTCTAGAAGCAGTCAGTTTTTCCATAAGTAGCTAGAAAGTACTGTCATTTTGTACAGTAAAACGTGATCTCAATTTTTATTGTTCTGAAAAGAGACCAAAAAAATACAGAAATGGCAGATTTGATACTGCCAGGATTTTGCCTACTAGTAACAAAGCGTTCCTTTGCAGCAAATGTAAGGAGACCTTTTTAAATTTGCAGTTACCAAACCAAAATGACATAGCTACCTAACAAGCCTTGCTCAAAAACTAGCAAGAATCAATCACCAGTAATAACAACTTTTTCCAGTGCTGCTTAAATAACACCCTTGCTGAAAAATTCAAACTCATTTGGTTAGGTGTACAGCGATTTTAAAGTATACTGTAGTTATTATTTCTTTTCTTCTTGAATGCCCATCACCCACAAGAGACTCTTGCTTCAGTGATTCTCCCATTGCCTCCAAGGGAGCCTCTTTTTTTTTTTTTTGCCTCTCCCATTGCCTCTTTTTTTGAGAAAGAGATGAACTGAGGAGATGTTACCATAATATTCAGAACATTCTTGTCAATCTAAAAATAATTAAAAACAGTACTGTGCCAGCAAATTACATTAAAAGATCTTGCTATCCATTTAGGATAGCAATTCTATTCAACAAAATGTTTCCATCTTGATTTGTTATCTTCGATCCAGTTCAGATATCATGGATATGAAATGTACTAAAAGCATTATAGAGCAGCCACTCCACCATAAAAGAGCACAATAGAAGTCAAAAACAAAATACATCCACCATAAGAAGTAGACATTCATTTCCTGTTCTACCAGTGAAAAAGCCCTAAAAACTCAGGAGTCTGTGTACACACATTCATAAATCTCCTCAGTAAACTTGAATTTAGAACTGTTTAAAAAGAAAAAAGTTGAGAAGAGAGAAGATAACCCCCTCCTTTTTTTTTCCACCCCAAAAGGTGACGTCAGTCTGATACAGAAGCTTAAGGAATATACCAGCAGAAGGAGAAAAACCACTGCACAGCTAAGAAACTAAGAAGCTGTCATTGTGACTTCTGTAAGTCGCAGTTCCTTCCATCTTTCTCACTCAACCTTGGAAATTTTAAAAAGTCAGACCATAGTTTGGGGAGCAGATAATCAGCATGGGAGTGTTAGAAAGGTACTGTGTCAAAAAAGGGCAAAGTTTTTTTTGATTTCGCAGAATCACAGAGTCTGAGGGACTTCTGGAGATCATCTAGTCCAAACCCTGCTAAAGCAGGCTCCCTACAGTGGTCACACAGGGAAGTGTCCAGCTGGGTTTTGAATACCTCCAGAGAAGACTCCACAACCCTCTTCAGGCAGTTTGTTCCACTGCTGTCACCCTCAAAGTAAAGACATTTTTCCTCACGTTCATATGGAACTTCCCATGTTTCAGTTTCTGCCCCGTGCCCCTTGTTCTGTTGTTGGGCACCACCAAGAACAGCCTGGATTCATCTACTTTGCTCCTGCTCTTTAGATCATGAGTGCCCAACCTTTGGGTTTATCTGAGCCATATATGAAATACACAATATAGTTACTGTATACAAGTAACAGAACTTATTTTTTGAGTTTTTATTAAAATGTGACATCAGTTTTTCCAGTAACATTTCCTTTCCTCCCAGATGGGTTTCCGTTCACTTTTAGATTACCGTGAACAATTACCATTCATTTTCAGAATTGATACAGAGGAAATAACTGTTGATGACAGTAAAGTTCAAAGATTTCATAGCTGTTCTGGAGGGGCTGATGTACCCGGCAGGAATTTCCAGAGATCATCTGCAGTTATCACACTGTGCATACCCTGCAGAAGAAACATACATATTCCAACTAGAGAACACTTAGATGATTCCAGGGACACCCACCCACGTTCCTCTCAGCTGCAGCAAGTCCAGGCTGAACATGATTTGGCTGCCAACACAATCTGTTTGGAAGAGCATCATCTTCCCACTCTCTCATCTCTTTTTGCAATTATTTCCATAGTAGGAGGCACTGTCACCATCCAGTTTCCTAGATGGGGAAACTGATGAGCCAGTTAAAATGCTTTTCTAGAACACAGCAAGAGAAATCAGATCCAGCTAAAAGACAGTTGTGATCTGTGACATGAGAACACTGCTGTTGTATGCTCAAAGATGGATGACAAAGTTGGTAAGGGAAAAAAAAAAAACTTTGAGATTCTTCAGATCCGAGAAGCAAACCTGAAAGCTAAATTAAAGTTGACAACAATTTCTCTGAACTTACACAAATGTCCTCAGTGTCCCCCAACAAAAGAAAGAAAATCCACCTCCCCCACACTTAGATAGGAAACGTCACATCTCACTACACCTCATCTTGTTTGTGGTCTGCACACTGCCATTAACCTCCTGCCTTTCTCTAAGGAAACAATCAGAAAGAAAAAGCAGAATTTCTCAAGCGGTGTTTATCGTGCAGAATTATCTTCTGATAAACATTCAATAATCATCTTGAGAGAGGTAAACACCGTATTCCAAAGAACTGAACCTTACTTTTATGAAGATGACTGTTTGCTCTCAAAAGTTATTAATATATATTTTAATAAGTACAAGTGTCTTGCTACAGACCGAAGAGTATTTCTGCTGCAATCCTTTGCTGAACAAGTAGGCAACTTCCTAATTATTTGCAGGAAGTCCTACTTATTGCATTTGCAGTGAAAGGCAAAAAACAAAACAAAACAAAAAAACCAGTTATATTTGTTGCTATAATAAGAAATATCAGGTGACTATAGTATACCATTTATTCTACTTCTTATCATTTTGAAAATAAACTAAACCCAGGAATTCCCATTTGGCATAAAGTGTCTTTCCCCAACTTGACTTTCACCAGTTCAAGCTACATGTACCAAAGCAGAAGGTCCTTATTGAACATTAGTACGGCTCAAACAATGAACAACAGAGCTTACTACATCTAGAGACTCTCCAGATTTAAAACCTTGTCTACACGAAGTATTTAGGTATTAATTTTGTGCAAAGCTGCTTTGCTTCAATTTTTAGCATTTTGTTTCTACATGTTGGTAGGAGAGCTAGCTTTACAATTATAGACTTTTCCCCTTTCTTATAAAGGATGGTTCCATAACAGGATATATGAACGCTGCACTGAGCTAGTGTCAGGTTTAGAAAGATTCTTGTACTCATTAGCTCACTAGGCTTGGACTTGATCCCTGAATCAAACTGCCTTTAAAAAAAGTTAAGAAACATTTTCCTCTTTCCCTCCAATATCATCACAAGGTGGTTTGTCAACTTCCTTTTCCTTCGTGGTTTCTGAGATGATCTAAAGCTGCATTTGACTTTGGCCCCTTACTTAAGGACAGCCTTAAACTTTATTTCATTTTAAATCCTAGACGCTACATGAACCAGTTGTGCAGCCCTCCCAGTCTCATACAGGAAGGCTCTACTCAAGATCTTACCATTATACCAAATCTGACAACTCATAAGAAGTTTGAGGGCACCAATGCCATCCTACCTGCACATGTAAGTTATATTTATAAGTCTTTCCTGTAAATTCAGAAAACGTCACTAAAAAAAACTGCTGAAGCACCAATTTTATGGCAGGGATTAGCGGGAGAGGAGAATGCTCAAAAGTATCAGGTTTAAAGAAAATCCTGTTCTGTATTCTTTATGGATACTTTCAACCATGTACCTGGAAAATAAATCAGCATTGCTGTGAGGCATCTTGCAGTTACAAGGTTACACATACAAAAATGGAGTGTTCAAAAAAAAAAAAAAGTGTAGGAAACAGAAAACACCTCAGCTGGGATTGTTTTCTGCCAATTTTCTAGTCTGAAGGAGCTCATCAAAGGTTCAGGTAAGCAGAACTTCAACAGCTCTTCCAGACTAAGTACCACTTAGTCTGCAGTAAAACCGCACCTACGGAAACTATTTCAATTCTTCTTTCCTCTGATTTTAACTCTGGCTTTTCTGCAACACAAGCAAGCACCTATCCATATAACTCATCATCTTTTTCTAGAGTCAACACTGCCAATGCTTAAATACACTATGTGCATATTATGGTAAAGGACAGTTCGTTGTTACTGTTATCTCTGCAGATCAAGCTCTTCAGGGCATTCCCCATAAAGAAAAGTGTTAGCAAACTTGTACCTTGATCAATAAACACATAATATCACATTCTTTCCTCAGCAGATCCCTTCTGGCTCTCTCTCTTCTCTCTTTTTTCCTTCCTTTTTTTTCTTTTCTTCTTTTTAAACCTTAACCAGTATAACTGCCTACAAGTTTCCAGCCACTGATGCTGCAGTTTGCATAACTTTTGTTGCCTACAACAATAGCACGCTGCTCTGCCTGGCTCCCATATGGCAGGATAATTTCCTAGTAACCTAGAAACAGAGTTTGCAAGTCTGTAATTCCTTGAGGCACCAGCCTCACTTTCTTCCACTTGCACATCACTGCCTGCAGAGATTTCAAAAAAGTACTAACCACAGTCATTCAAGATCATCTGCCAAATGGATGCCAACACCAGAACTTCCATTTCATAGTAACGAGTAGGAGCCCAGAACAAGCAATATGCATTCCAGTACCATCAACATACCTACTAAGTGCCTTCGGATGCAATTTTCCTTTGGCCCTTGTACAAGAGAACTCTGATTTGCAAGGAATTGATTATGCCCAGTGATCATGACAGAGGCACAGATCCAAGGACAGCTCTCCAGGAGAACTTGTATTACTCTCTACTGCTAATTATTCTTTAGAACTAAACTCCCCCAGTCTTGCCATCTCCTTTCCATTACTCCCTTATCTTCATTGCCTCTTTTCACCAATCCAACTTCAGGTACCTAAACTTCCTCCACACATTAACACCATCATATGAATGTGCAGAACAAGCTGTACAGTCAAGAAGAATTTAAGACTACTTTAGTTCCTCCTGTGGACTTCATTGGGCTTTACCTTAAGTACATCATAGAGTAACTGAAGTTGGAAAAGACCTCTAAGGTCATCCAGGCTAACTATCCACCTACCACCAGTATTTCCAACTAAACCACGTCCCTCAAAACTACTTCTAAACATTTAAAGAAAGCAATTGGGAGTGGTTATCCTGTGCAGTTTTCTGTGTTAAGACATGCAAAGAGAACAACCATCTGCTAGAGAAGGGAAGAAAAGCCACAGTAAATAAGAGCCAACTTACTTGCTAGGAGAAGACAGGCAAATGAAGCGACATACAGTTGCTTGACACTGATATCATAGCGATCCATGAAGAGGTCCAGTAAGTAGATTGCGAGATGCCGAGCTGTAGGGCAGAGACTGCAACGGTTGCTGAGGACGGTCAAGAGATCAATGAAGTAACGGCGCATCCCAATCTGTGGTGAATGGGCCTTGTACAGAGGCAGGTTACGTTCCTATAGGGAGGGGAGAGAGGGGGGTAAGGAGGAAAGTACTGAAACATCCCATTGAACCATCAGCAATCCCTAATGCTCTCCACCTGCTATGGAAAACGTAGCAAAAACAGCACTGTGATGGAAATCAGGGCTGAATTACTGCATGTGTAACAGCCAATTAACTTCTAGTACTTCGGTCATACTGCACTTTCACCCAGGAACAGCTTGTTATCACTTCCTACAGAACACCAAACTTCTTGGCCATGAGAGCTGTCCCTTAAGGACTTTATTTTCTTCACCTAAAATTGGGCTATTAAGCACTGCTTCATAAGCTAGAACAGCAAGATAAATTCCTCTGATAGTGCCTCTTCCAACTTACTACATTCTATACCAAGAACCATCCAACCAACAAGCACCCCACAGGTCTGTAGCATGAAGAATTTCTAATATTAAAAAAAAGCCATTGTGCACAGCTGCAATAAGTAGACATTAACAAGAAAAATAATGAGAGACTTGCAATTACGGCCAATTTAAGCATTTTTCATGCTGATGTGTTTCAGCAATATAAAAACTAACCTCTGAACTTGCAAAATGTTTCATATGTGATATAGAAATTTTAGTTTTAAAGGCAGAATTATTGAAGTTTTTTGGTCTACCTATGCTATCCCTTCACCTGAAAGTGTTTCATACAGATTTGTAGCCACAGTGTGAGGGAGGGAGTGAAGATCCTGGGGAGCACCCACAAGCAAATGCCACTTTAGTGTTAAGCAGCCAGACTTAAATTGAAATGGACTGAATGCATGTGGGTAAACATAGATAAAAGCAAGCAAACTATATATATATATAGTTTATATATATATATATATATAGTATATATATATATATATATATATATAAAAACTATATATATATATATATATATATATATAAACTATATATATAGTTTGCTTGCTTTTATATATATATGATATATATATATGATATATATATATGATATATATATATGATATATATATATGATATATATATATGATATATATATATGATATATATATATGATATATATATATGATATATATATATGATATATATATATGATATATATATATGATATATATATATGATATATATATATGATATATATATGATATATATATGATATATATGATATATATATGATATATATATGATATATATATGATATATATATGATATATATATCAACATGGTGCACATCAGTAATTCAGATTCCACTTTTAGATCATTTTTGTATTGCATGCATTTGAAAATGAACTGGAATCTGCATAGCACTGTGAGATAAACGTGTCTTATAGCAGAATACAAAGTAGTGCATAGAGCAGTAATTCTACAAAACAAATACAGAGTTGAACAGATGAGATCAGAGGAAGCATCCACTCTGGTGTGCTGCTTGCAGAAGGGCACCTCCCTGCACAGCTGGAGCAGTGCCTGCCCACACTCTCCCATCTCCCTGGAGGAAGCATTCCGTGAAGAGGTTCAACTTGTCAGGGGAAAATAGCTGCACAGTCAGGCTCAGAGGGGTGCACATGACTGGAAACCAGAGAGGCTTGTTACCAAGAAGCAGCTCACAAAGACAGCAAGCTGGGCACTGTTACAGATGATTGCTTACCAACCCTTTTTTTTTTTTCCTCTGAGCTGAACAGACACATGCTGCAGACAAGCAAGAAGCCCTTTGAAACCTGGGGCAACCTTCACTGGGGGATAATAAAAAATACCCCTTCTTATAAAAAAGGGAGGCAATGGAACACGACCCCCACATTGTTTTATGCCCAAAAACACACCATAATGCCCACCACCACAACCACCTTACATACCAGGCTATCAATACATCAATAGGACACAGGTTGAGAGCAAGAGTTCATAGTATACTCACAACCTAAGCATTCTGGAAGAAACTATTTCACAGTGAAAAGAACTGCATTTGTGTTAAACGTCAGTATAAAGTCCAAGCTATGATAAGATCAGGTGGAAATTCAATCTTTAAAACATTTTTTCTTCCTGATGACTAATAGGAACGTCAAGTTTTACTTTTTGAAATGTTTCTGGCTTACAAACAGTTAGATCTCCCAGCAAAATTATGCTCTCTAGATATATCAGATCTCAGCATATGTATTTAATATGAAACTTCCTGCATGGACCAGAGTTATGGTTGGCAAGTATATAGTTCCTACACAAAGTGAGAAGCTCTATAAACACAGCTATTGATATGCATTCCTCTCTTCCCCAACCTCCCCTCACAGCCTTATTTAGCACCAGTTCTCCAAGAAAAAAATTACTTCTTTGAACACTAAAAGTGTAACAAACCTTTGTTACTTTAGGGATATTGGTGCACAATCAGCAGCTAAAAGTCTTAGAAGAAAAAAAAAAAAGTCTTTCAGGAAGCAAGAATAGAATAATTTCCCATGCTTAGAATTTTCCTCTATCTCCAGTAAAGCAATAGAGAAGCTAGGAGCTCTGCTGTCTGCTGGTCCTTTCAGATGCTGCTGCTGCTTACTCCTGCTCGCTCCTATCTCCTTCCACCACCTGGCTGTGGCTGCTGGCAGCCAATGCACTGAAACACTGAACGTGGCAGCATGGGCTCTCATGCGGCTCAGGGCTGACCGACTGAGCTCCTTCAACAGTTATTGGTCAGTGTCTCAGCTAAAAGCCTCCAGGCAGGCAGAACACAGCGTTTGGGATGATTGCCACTTATCATGTTCTGAGACAAGTAAGGCTTGCAAGAGTGAGGTTGTGCGTGGGCTGAAAGAGAAGCAGCTTTAAAGGCAAAGTCAATTATAAGCTGGCTCCTATCAGCTTCAAAACCTGACCTTGTAAAAGAAGGGAATTGGTGTAAACATATTCAAGTGGTGCTAAAGATGACAAATCTTCAGCAGTCAGAGCTGAAGTGTAGCCAGGCTCAAGGAGTTCCCAGGAGGTAACCTGACTGATTCCTGCACTGCTCATTGACCCAAGGAACCAGACTTCACCTATGGACCAGCTGGCTTCACAGTAGGGCTGAGCAAACCCTTCTGAGCCACCCCAGAGGAGATGCTGAGCAACAAGCAGAGTAAGTGAACCTCATGAAGTTTAGGCTCCTTGAGCTGGACTAGCTAACCACAACTGAAGAGGAGAGGAAGGAAATTGAGCACGATGATGTCCTCCAGCTCCCCTACAGCAGTTGCTCCGTGCCCCACTCAGTGTGGTCAGAGCACTACACCATAGTGCTTGGGTGTTCAATACAGCAAGAAGTTGCATCCCATTTCCTTTCAGCACAACTCCTCCTCCCCAGATTTAAAGCAGTAATAAACTGACAAACAGCAGAAAACTTACAAGTTAGCAAGTGATGTGACGTTACAGTAATAACTCCAACTAAGAATGATCAGTTCTCAGAACAAAAGTGAAATTCATCAACTCGCACCCTCCTTGACAAAGGAAAAGTGAGCCTCTATGACAAACATTCCTCAGGTTCTGACATTCATAAAGATGTTAACTGAATCTGCTTTTCTACCACGTCTTCAGCTTGGCTCTGTTTTCCCATAGATGAACCATGCAGCATCCCCTGACTCCCTGTGGCCATGCAGGCTCAGAGAAAGGCAAAGATAAGCGACAGTGCAGTGTTCTTCAGGTACAGCCAACAGGATGCATTTCCTCTCACAGCAAAAATGCCTCCAAAATAGCCAAACTTGCTTTGTCTGGGCAAGCACGAGCCGTGTCTTGTAATACAGGCCAACCTTTATACCTGTTCAGATTTACAGTGATTAAGGTCAGTAGAGGATTCAGTGTGATCTGTGGTATGTGGACAGTTAAATTAAGATTCAGTCACACTATTAAGATGCCATTAAAAAAAAAAAAAGCATCAGAGCAGAACCATATTTCAACTGTGCTTAAAATCATTTTGATCTTATTCAGCCCTTCAGCATCCTTACAGCAGTCTGAAATTTTTGAAATTTGAGGGAAAACCAGACTGCTGTTGTGCTTGAAAAATGCATCACTTCCTGTGTTTCACTGTAGTGTATTATCAAACATTTCATTAAGACCTTTTTACACAATTCAAAGCATTCAGAATTCAGCAACTGATCTGTGAAGGATCAGAGAAAGAAGTGTGAAAATCAAAATTCCAACTTGAAGGAAGGAAGGAAAGAAAGAAAAAGGTCATGAATAACCATGTACTTTACCAGAACACCTGTTCCTTTCAGCTCCATGCATATGCTGCCATCTACAACATAAGCAAGCTACAGCTAGAGGCCAGTAATGCTATTGTCACTGGTTTAAAAAAAATAATCTAGCTTTTGAAGTGAACAGATTATGCTTTGTTGCTGGACTTCCAGTTTTGGGAAAAGCCTGATATTAGTAAGCCTCAGTGCCTTCTAACACCTTCTTTTCTTACATCTGATTCAAAGTGGAAAAGCTCATCAGAATGAAAGGTTAATGCTTTATCCTCTAGATTAATTGAAGTGAGAGTCCAAACCCTTTTGAATGCCCCAGGTATCTGGTTCCCCTGAAGTTCTCATCTAGAGTTCTTTAAAAAAAGAAAACAAACCCCACACCAGAAGCACCACCTGCACAGTGCCCCATTGCCTTCCCTCCTCTGCAGCACAGCCCATGGGGCCTGCGCCAATCCCACCTCCAGGCAGTGCCAGGCAGATCTGAGCACATCGCACTTCCATCAATACTCGCTTAGCGTTGAAGGGATCACAAGTTTTTAAAATAACAAGGAGAGTGGATTCATTGGCTGGAAGACAAAACAGTGCCTGTTACATCATGAACTGATGTGATGCACCTAGAGGAACTCACCCAGACATATTTACCACTTAAAGGACTGTTTGCTTTCAGCAGGAAGAAGATCAGCGCTCCTCACAGGGAGTTACTTACAGACATTTGGACCACCTTTAAAGAGATCAAATTACAATATTAACTTTTTAAATACATAAAAAAAAGGTCCTGCAAAGTTCAGCCCTGCTCTGAGAAGCCATGCAAGAGATGAATAAAAAGGAAATGCAGACAGATCCAGTTATTCTCATTAATTGCAAGAAATGAACATATCCTGAGAGGAAACAGCCCAACGCAGTGCAGCAACAGGAGAGGAACAGCAACCAGACATCCCTCCATTTTCTGGGACATTCACACTGCCTTCTGAAGTACAGGATTTTCTCAAACACCAAAAACAAACCACCACACACTGACTTGTTACTCTGCTTTTCACACTTACTGAGTATTTCGAGCTACTAAAGAAAAGAGCTTTGTAAAGGTGCTGCAGGAGTTTCATTTCCATTCAGAAAGCTCAGACTTTCAGCGTGGGGCAGCAGCCTGGACCAATCAGTACCTTTCTATTATCACCTATTTCTGCAATGGCCCTACGTTATCACAGCACTGATATTTCATAGTTGGACAATTCAGGGGCTATTGATTTCCTCCACGTTGAGACGGAGCCTTCAGGGAGCAGCATTTTTCAGCTGTCAGAATGAGAAGCCAGGTATAGCCCACACATTCAGCATCTGCTCTCATGCAGAACGCATCCATCAGAACAGTGCACAACATCTGTCACTAAGCAGCCAACTTCTAAAGAGATTAACAACAACTTCCATCCAAGGGGGTGGGAATTACACTTCTTGCAGTTAACATAAAAACTTGGTTGTTTCCATTTGCATCTCAATCGCTTCTAGTGTTCTAGGAAGAGCTGCATCACCTTTCATTCCTCACCTTAAACAGACTTAAATATGTACTTAAAAGAAGCAGGACAGCCTGCAGCCTTCAACATCCTTGACAATTACTAAATAACTTTCCTCTCATACTCACAAGCTCCAACTAAGACCTGTTTCTTCTGACCCAAGACACGGACCGGCCCACACTAAGACTCTTCAGAAGGCACCTTAAAGCAGGGAGGTCACTCAGGCTGAAGATACCATTGCATTAATTCTTCGCATCCCATCATCAATAAGGCAATGCACTAACAGTGCACTGACACACGACAGCTCAAGTGGAGACGCAGCTACTGAAGCTTATTTTCTCTACACGTTTGCCACAGGCATCCTCAGCCCATGCTCACAAAGCTGTCAATGCTCATCTTCCCAAACTTTGTTGTCTGGTCCTTTTGAGGAGATTTGTGACATTCTTTTTAAAGTCTTGGTGCTTCTGACATTGGAAAAAAAAAAAAAAAAACCCTAAAAAAACCCCCAAAAACTCAGCAATACACTTCAGAGTAGTTTTTGCAGGATATTACTTGAAGAAGGAAACAAAGAGTGAACCAAATATTAGTCTTACCACCTGCAATTATTTTTTCCCTCTACAGTGGCACCCTGGATTCTCCTTTAGTACTTTGAGAAGGAAAGAAGTCATCCTTGTAAGGTGGGCAGAATTAGTACACAAAGTGCCCCAAACCTTCCTCAGAGCTGAGGAAGTGCAGCCCAAAGACCCTTCTCCCTCTTTGAGGGCTCTTTACATCATCTCAGCCGGCCTATATCCATAAACAAAGGAGAGATTTTAGGAACCTAGAGTGGCAAGATGCATCTAGAAAGAAGTCTCAAGAATGAAATGGTTATTTAAAAGACAGCAGATACACTGAATTAACAAACACACCAGAAAGTTATCCCCGGCCCCTTCACACCCCAGCACTGGATGCCTGCCATTCCGCCCACCCCATAGAAAGGACCTGGCCCACTCAGAACCTGGACCTGGGAACACTGCATCACCTAACACCATTTATTGCTCAATGGCGGTAAGGAACATCCAGAGGTAACTTCATTACCCGTAGCTTTGCTAACATCAAGCTGTGTTACATACAGGCAGTCACTATGTGCTGTGGACTGGCTCTCGTGCTCAACCACCTGCGTGTAGGGTTTACTTCTACTTACTACTTTGGAAATCTACCTAAAGAAACAGCAGCTTTAATTTTACCTGCCTTCAGTAAAAGCACGCTAAGTCTTAAAAGCAGTGCCTGACTGTTTTGCTTACCGCAAGACGTACAGTTGGCTTTCCAATCAACCCTGAACTTCTAGAAATAGCACCTCATGCCCATTTGTGCACATGCCCGCTCCCGTACAGCCCTCCTGGGCACGACGTCCCAAATCTTAGCGCTTATCTGTGCGCAGAGAAGCAAAGCCGTTTCTCCAGATCCTGCAACACGCTGACTTTTCTTTCACAGGACAACCCGCATCCTCCCAGCGTCTAATAGAACAAGTCCCCACCCCGGCTAAGTTACAGAGTCACAGCTACCGAAGAGCCGCAGGTTCTCCAGGCTGCCGTTCGCTCAGGGCTCACTTTGAACAAGTTTCGATCGGAGCAGCGCCCGGCAGCCGCGCTGAAGGCACAGCGCGGTCACCGCAGCACAGCCCTTCTCCTGGGGAGGGCACAACGGAGAGCAAAGCTGAGGGAAAGGAACAAAGCGGGAGCAAACCTTCGTCCTCAGGGTCTGATGGATGTCTGCCGCCAGCTCCCCTTTCCACCACTGCTCCTCCATCCTTTTTCTTCCCATCCAGACAAAGCTCTGGGAGGCGGACGGGGCACCACCGGGACGGAGAACAGAGCGGAAGAGCCGTTTTCGCCGGCCCCCGCACCTCCCGCCGGCACCGAGCCCCCCCCGCGCTGACCGCTGCGGCCGCCCCCCTCCGGAGCCGGCGTTCGGCCCGGCGTTCGGGCACGGCTCGGGCTGGCGGAAGCCCCGCGGCCGAGAGGGGAAAGGATGGGAAAGAAGACAGCGGGAGGACCGCCGCCCGTCCGCCGACGCGGCTCTGGGGTTAATGGGCTGTAATTAACAGCTGCCCGCCCCGGCGGGACGCCGCCGACCCCTCCGCGCCGCCGGCAGCGGCACCTGCGCGCTCCTGGGGCCCCGCGGGGGGAGCGGATCCCCCGCCCTGCAGGCGCGGCACCGACGGCACGTGGCTGCCCGGCTCCGTGCGGGCCGAGCCGCTCCTCGTGCTGGCGGCGCTCAGCGAGAGTCCGCAAGTGTGGACGGGAGGCGCGGGCTTTGTCCTCGTTCTGTGCTTCCTCACCTTCAGTTACCAGGACGTGCAGGCGGCGTGACCTGGCTACAGTTTCAGCCCAGATGTCACCGCTTTGCCGCGGGGCCCATTTCCACATCCCAGCTTGACGCTCGAAGAGCCTAGGAAAACAAGATCACCATACAGCCTGTTCTCTACCAAAACCTCACCGCTGATCTGTTCAGGATGAAATTGCCACAAGCGAGTTCCCCCGGCCTAGCAGCAGCTTTCCCTTCTTGGGAATTAGACCTCAGTTTCAGCATTCGTTTTTGGGGGCTTTGTCTGTCAGTCGTCCTGCACAGGACTTTGCAAAACAAACAAAATACCCTCATGAGATGTTTTCTTCTTTGGTTTCCAAACAAACAAACAAACAAAAACAACACAGAAAACCTGCATGCTTTGCTTCCAACAAAGTTACTATCTTGGTTGATTTTACCGTTCCTGGGAAAATGCTTTCATGATCAGCAAAGAAAAGCTGCTGAGCGGTTACCGATGAAAACATCCCCAGTTGTTTATGATGAGCTTTCTGCCTTGGCCCTGCTGTAAAAGCCAAGCAATGAAGTTAAGTAGCAGCGCCCATTAAACCCGCAGATAAAAGCTGCCACCAAGTGTCCGTCAGAGACAATTTTCCCTTATTTTCTTTCAAGTACATCTAATTACGCCACTGTCCCTTAAACAAAGTACTTGAGTGCCCTAATTTAAGCAAAGAAACCACTTTTTTTTTTCCTCTTTTCACGTAAAACTGAATACATGCTTAAAAACGTGTTGAACAGCAGTTTGAGAGTTTCCTTACAAATAACCATGTGATTCATACAGCACTGTATTCATTTGCTATTAGGTTTTTTGTTTTTTTTTTTAACCTCTAGGTTATCTCAACGCTATTATCAACTTTAATACTGTTGAATAATGTTGTTCTAAAAATTGAGCCCAGTTACAGTGTAATTTTTCCATCTGAACCATGGGACCTTTCAGGACAAGCACACATTCAGATACAATGGGTACAGCCATGGTTAAAACACAGGCTTCAGCCACATCAGAACTGTGTGTATTCAACTTGCGAGCAGTTTATCAAATAGTCTGAAAAAGAACAACAACAACAAAATCACAGGAGAATTCCCAAAGTAAATAGACTTACTGAGAGTTTACATTCTTTTAGAGAAACTTCATGTGAATCTGTGAATAAGGCACAGCTGGGTAAAGCACAGGTACAGCCATTGAGTGATGTAGACCTAGTTTCAAGTCACTGATGTCATCAGCATTATGGAGGTTTTCTTTAAGAACCAGTTTAAATTGAGCAAATCAGCAGCTTTCCCACTACCCCACCATTCTGGACGTTACAGCAATAAAATGCATTCAGGATGAATAAAGTTACCCAACAATAGCTAAGGTACAAGCCTTCAGTCTAACAGGGCTCAGGCAACCTGTATTTCACCTGCTGGCACAGCGAGCTTCAGCTGGGAAAGAACACAGTGGAAATGCTGCATTGCAGAGGCTGCACCTGCATCAGTCAGCAAGGAGCTGGAGCACTCTTGGTGGAAAAGAATGGGCTTCTGAAGTCCCATGCACAACACAGAGCCCACGGCTGTGCTCTGCAGCTCCAGCTGTTCACCCCCACCTGCTGCCGGAGGCAGACAGGAGCTGCTCTGGTGCTCAGCAGGGGGTGAGTACAAGAAGAGAGCACTGGTGCCTGCCCAGATAGCCCTAGAGGGCTCCTCCTTCCCCAGGTGGGCAGCCCAGGTTGATGCCACTCAGGTGCTCCACATTTCACCAAAATCCCAAAGCCAGATTGTATCAGCAGCAGTTTGAGCAACAATTTCAACCAGTTTGAGTGCTTTCACTAAATTAACGTGGTGGTTTTTTTCTACTGAAAGAAGAACTGATTTTCCTTCTTGCTGGTTCTCTGTATCTATCTGTGTTTTCCTATCTCTCTTCTTCACTCTGCTCCTTTGTAGCTCAGCATGTATTTTTCACTACGTGACCCATCTCATTAAACCTAGTCTTTCTGTCAAGGTAACTTTCTGTAAGTTGTAGCATTCCATAGGCTCACAGGGATCTGAAGCAAGCACAAAGCAAACAAGAAGAGCAGCAAGATGTAAGCATGATTTCTTCATGCATCTCATGATTTCTTCAGCAGTGTTCACTGCTGTAGTGGGACTTGCAGAGAGACTGTCCTGTCCCCTCACCTTTAAACGCTCAAAAAAAGAGATTTGTGACTCTGGGGGTACAGCACCGGCTGTGGTAAATGCTGGGGAGGTCTGTGAGCTCTCTGCTTCCCAGCAGCCTGATGTACCTCAGTTCTGTGCCCAAGAACTAATGCCCAGCCAAGGCCCCCAGGATGTCCCTTTGAACATGCTATAGCTGAAGCATAGGAACTTCCTTGGTCCTCCTTCTAGCCACCAGCTCGTGTGGAAATTGGAAACCCTGTGAAAGTGTCCTCCTTGTAGGAGTCTTCCCCTTCCTGACCTGCCTGTCAAGCACCTGGGGACATGGTCTCTCCAGCACATGCTCACTGAAAATGCCTCAAGCTGAGGTAATTATGGGGTTGTAGCAGTACTAGAGCAGCTCTTGGGTGACAGCCCTGCTATTATTTTCCCTGCAGTAAAATCCCTGGTGCTACATGTGAGGGCAAGGCCAGCCTCTGCGTCCCTGTGCTGGGCAGGGGTGCTGCACCAGGAGCTGGGGGGTGAGGGGCTGGGGATTTGTGCAGCTGCAGTCACAGGTCTGTGTCATCCAGAGGGCATGCTGCAGCTTCTGCTGCTAGGCTGGGTTGCTTCAAGGACAGAAACACTCCCTGGCAACGCAGCAGTGCACAGCCAGGTAATTGGTACACAGCTACTTGAGGCAGGTTCTCCTGGGCCTTCCTTGGCCTCCCTAAGGGAAGATGTGATGGAGACTGGAAGGCTCTGCTCAGCTGGAGTGAGCTGCACGGTTCGGTGATGAAGGTGGGAAGGAGAAAGCTCTGTTGTGGTGGAGAGGAGTTCACGTGGTAATGAAACCCTTTGACCCCATGGAGAGGACCTGTGTCTGTGTTTTCACAGCTGCGTCTGTGCTGGCTTCTAATGAACCACGAGATGAAACAGCTGAGCTGTCATTGCTAACTGATCACTGAGGGCAGGTGTTGCACTCCCTGTTTT